CCTACTGGGGATGTGCCCACAACCAAGGTACATGCCCTTGACTGGAATCGAACCTGGGACCCTTAGTCCGCAGGTCGACACTCTAGCCACTGAGCCAAACCAATGAGGGCAACTCCTACGGTTTTTATAGTCTATGTCACATGCTAGTTCTTAGTTAATCCTTGTCTTGCTGTTCATTAGCGTTCAGGTCATTCTTTCTAACTAGGTAGGAGGTGGGGACAGGTGAGGAATCATGTCTTAAACTTTATGTACCTCCCAGGCACATAATAGAGCTCCAAAAAATTAGCATAAAGACTGGTTGATTACTCAGAGCTATCATCTCCTCCTTTGATAATGGAGGAACACCTCTAGGGAATTAATTATTTTGTCTTGCCTGTGCATATTTTCCTGTTTGCAAAGAGCTTGGGATTCATCAATGTCTATTAAGCTTCAAAATGTAATTGTCACCGTAGCCGGTTTGGCCCAGTAGGTAGAACGTTGGCCTGCGGACTGAAGGGTCCTGGATTCGATTCGGGTCAAGGGCATGTACCTGGGTTGGAGGCTCCTCCCCAGCCAAGGCCCTGGTCGGGGGCGTGCAGAAGGCAACCAATCGATGTATTTCTCTCACATCAATGTTTCTGTCTTTCCCTCTCTCTTCCACTTTCTCTAAATATCAATGGAAAAATATCTTTGGGTGAGGGTTAAAAAAATAATAAAGTTTCAACTTAAAAAAATGTAATTGTCTAAATAAGCCAGAAATGCAAAAACCAATGTATTAACCAGGTCTTCTCTAGTTGCAAGTAATAGGAAACCTAAATTCAAACTGCCTTAGGTAAGATCTAATTTACTGATTCCTAGAACTAAAACCTCCAGAGGTGGGGAGAATGCCAGGCATGGCAGGTTCCGGAGCTCAGACAATGCTATCCAAACTGGAGCTCTTGTTCCCTCCATTGCTTGGCTCTACTCTTCCTTGCATTAGCTTCAGCCTCAGTAGACTCCCTCCATGTGGTAGCTTCTGGCAATTTCAGGTCTAGTTTCTGGCTGCTTCTCTTCCTGGCAGATCCACAAAATTCCTAGTCTCACTGGACTAATTTGGGATACTTGGCAATCTCTGACCAGACCATTGGCCAGGGCTGGGTGTATTAATCAAGGCTTTTCTAGTTGCAAGTGATAGGAAACCTAAATTCAAACAGCCTTAGGCTGGGTCACTTGTCCACCCCTAAGAGCCAGTGGTAGAGGTGCTCCATCCATGCAGAGCAGGGAGAAGCAGGCCAATGTCTACATAAATGGGCCCACTTACGGCCTCGCCCTCCAGCCACTTCCAGAGCAATGACCATGTAGAGGGGCCGAGTGGGGGCACTGTGGTAGAAGGGAGGTTCTGAAGCGATGTTTATATAGCATGCTATATAAAAGTGAAAACCATCCACATCAAATAATGGAGGAGACCTGATGGATATAACAGGGAAATGGAGGGGGCCAGTGACCCCCAAGTCACCCCTTGGTGCCTTCCTTGTAGCATATTTAATTTGTGGGGGAAGCAAAGGCCTAGGAGGACTACCAGTGGCCCAGCTACATGCAAAACAATCCCTGGAAAGGACTTGCTCTAACCACATATACTAATTATTAGTCCCCACACATAGATCAGGTTAGTTTTTTCAAAGTCCTAGACAAAGATGCATAAAGTAACACTGTCCCTATTCAGTGTTTTCTTCCACAGAAATGTCCAGACCTCCATCTCATGGGGGAAGCATCATAAGGCAGTTTCATAGGACCCAGCTTTGATCTTTATGCTGCCGTAAAGGTGTAGTTGGCCCTTCGGATGCTGAGAGCCATGTTCGTCCACAAAACTAGCAAATTACTACTCATTTTGCATTGTAGAGTCTTTCAGGGCCTTACTTTCTTTTTACTTACTAACTTCAATGCTTTGAGTGAGAGATCTGATCGTGAAGGTGAAAACGGCCAGGCAATGTCCTCGGGGATGTGATCTGCCTTTCCAGTCCTCTTCCCAGGAGGGATTTCACTGCACCGGGGAGAGAAGGAAACGAAAACCTCACTACACTTGCCTTGCAGAGACATGCTCACTTGGTTTTGCTTACTGCTCCCATCTGTCTCAAGTACTGTTGTTTCTTTCACTCTGAACATCTGCACTCCAAGAAGGCATGAACTTTTTCTTTCACTTCCTTTCTTCTTTGGGTGATGACCTGACCTCACTCTTGAGAAGGAGGCCGACAGTCACTGAATATAAACAGTCAGCCCTTTCTGGCTTCCACAGAAAGGTAAGGGGTTGGCTGAGCCCCCAGGGCGTCTGGAGGTAGGAGATGCCAACCATGGTGCCAAGGTCGTGTGCTGGAGGTCGCCGGGCTTTATATACTGGAGGGCACCATGGAACACACATGTCCTCTGGACTCTCCCTGAACCGTCTACCACTCTGGGAAGATGAAAGGTGGGAGTCGAGCTGGCAATGGAAGTTGTAATGGGGAAGAAGGCCATTCGCAGTGGGAGGAGGGCTGGGCGTGCTCTGGTCATGAGAGGAAAGGAGAAGCTGATGGAGTAGGACAAAAAGCCCAGGTCAAACAGTGCTGGCCACCCAGAAAGAGAAAGCAGTGGAGGGCAGGCCTCCTGCAGCGAACTGCCCTGGGGCTTAAGGCATGTATGGTGGCCGGGTGGGCTAGTGGGTGGGGTAGAGGCACCCACATGCCTTCATCTTCTGCTCATCCTCTCCATGGGAAAATAAAGCCGACTTGCGAGATCACTTCCTCGCTGACTCAGTCGTGAAGTGTCCAAGGATGAAAATGTGCTGAAATGCTCTCTCTCTCGGTCTGGCAAAAAGCGCTAGGATCTAGGAAGATGGTTCAGCACAGACTGCGTAGGCTTCAAGGGGCTTTCGGCTGGTCCTGCTGCCGCCTTCTCATTTCTCTGTCTTCTGTCTCGAGTGGCCACCGGCCGCTGTGCGCGGGGTGGGTGGGGGGGATGCTCT